TATCTCATTGAATATTTCTATTTTCCACTGTCAATCTAGAAGACGTGAGTTGAAGAAAAATACAATCAAAACTAATTAAAAGAAGAGAGCGAAGAAAAAAAAAAATCCCTTCTAGTGCGCATTCCTTCAAGAATTTGTTTTGAAGATTTAAGGCCAACCCCGGATTCTACTAGGAAGACCATAATAAGTTGTACTTTTTGACGTTTTTAATCGAAATATGGTTGTCGGTTTGAGGTTCGGGCCCTTGGCATAGAAGTATTGTCTACGAGAGATGATGTGACTATCAAATAAGATGATGTCTGAATTTTAAAGTAGGATAGTAGCTTTTGATTTTTGAATTGTTTACACGATTGACAAACTTGGCCTAAGTTAAATTTTTGCATCAGCTACATAAGACCGTCTCTATGTTATAAGTTAGTCAAAGCGACCGAAGAGAAAAGATTGCTCTTTCATACGAGAAAGCAAAGATGTAAATTTATGTTGAATAAGCAGTGCCAAATGTAATTTACAGAAGATGTCTGTAAAAAACTTACTATAGCGACTAAGAGATGTAAGTTGATTAGCACACACAGAGCCGCCACATCACAAATTCAAAGCGAGCCATCCAAACATACAGCCCTTGACTTATTATTTCATTGATTACATACAAAGCCAGAATGGGGGGACAATTACTAGTTAAGCAAGACGAGAACCTTCCATTACAGTGATGCTTTTTCCCTCAGGTAGTACTCTCTCATGTCTTTCTTCCTAAAATGCCCAGAGTTCACCGTATGCACACCCATCGAGCTGATGCCTAGCCAAGTAAACAATACAATACAAGTAACAATTAATGAATGAAGAAAGAACACAAATGGCACAACTGCACGAGGAGAGAGACAGAGAGACAGAGACAGAGTACCTGATATGCAACAAAATCACATTTCCCCAGTTTTTTGACCAATAACCTGCGTAGGGACAGTGTGCACTACCAGTAGTAACAAGATCTTGAAGAGTAGCGCACATATGAAGGAGCAGCCATCAATCTAATGAGAAGTTCTTTGTAATCTGAGTATCACCATTAGCCATCAGCAATCGGATTGGAGGATTATGTTTGGTATGTTATTTTAAATTTTTTTTTTTTTCTTCCGATCAGCTTTCCTTCACTAATTATGAACATATTTTTCCACTTAATCAAGAGACACTTAGAAAGATGAAAGGAGTAGTTTTAAATTGTGAGGTAGTTTGGGACAAAATGCCAATAATATATTACACACATGTGATACCCCATTTTAGGATCAAAGACGCTACTAAAAAAGTCAAACCCGAATCAAGGGGAGCCGATCCTGTAATAATGACTGCCATTCCAAGGGAATCCTCGTTTTCATCAAATTGGGGCTGTAGATCTATAACAGCCTTCCCGATGGGAGCACAACCTCCCAAAATGCATTTACATTCACTCTCGTTTAAGTACAAAATGAATATCATATATCAGTTGAAGTTGACTTCCTCTCTGACAGACATCCATCCATGAACACACTAAAGTTTGAAGAAAATTACTCGAATATCTTAGAAATCACATCACTCCCACCGATTAATTCTAAAACTGAACGATCACTCGACCTCACCTTTGACATGATTTGCACACCCTTTTAATCATTTACTTCAAATACAAAGCTGCCATAATTATGAATAATTAGAAAAGAAGTGTAAAAGAAATGCATACAATGAGGTTTCTTCAGTAGTTGTAATCTTAGTCAATCACAGAAGACCACTCAAGGCCTTTAGAAATAGATGGAACCTCAGCAGAGTCAAAATCAGAAAGTGGAACATGGCCAATCCAACTCAATTAAGAGCATTCTTGTGATTCTGAAACTCTCTACCAATCAAAACTCCAAACAGTGTTTAGAAACTCAATTTTATTGGCATTTAGCAAACACAGAAAGTGAATAAAAAGTATGAAGCTGCCAATGTTCCATGACCACAAAATTTGTAACGCTGCAAGCAGACATGGAAATTGTGTCCAGATTAAATTATCACTACCATGGACTTAGTTATTGACACAAATCCTCAAATTATATACTTTGTGATGTATGAGAGTATTTTCCTATCTTGCACTTTTTTTTTATTAATTTTTTTTATCAAATTTGAGTAAAAATTTGGTAAAAGCCTAATCTGATGTGATATACTTTCAATCTTTATTATCATCTTTTTTAAAAGATTCCAAAACTTATACTAAAAAATCTGTTTTAAAACCATTTTTATATATATATATATATATAAAAATCTCCAATCTTTTAAAATTTCGTCAAATTTGCGAGAAAAATATGACTCTCAACTTTGACAAAGGATTTGGTTCATCTTTTGACTTGGTAAAAAAAATTGAACCTCCCTGATTTCATACAAATTTGATGAAATGGTTTCAAGCACAATTTTAGCCAATTTTTTCTTCAAATATGAATTTGATAAAAAAATAAAAAAAAAAAATTGATGAAGAATTGTATAAATATTTTCAGATTAAGTTGAAAAGAAAGCAAGTAATAATCTAAAATCAATCAAGTCAAAATTTAAAGAAATCTAACGCAAAAAAAAAAAAAAAAAGGTCGACACATTGTAAGTAATTTGAGTAGCCAAATTAGAAGATGTGCACAATTCGGTGGGGAATTGGTGGTTATTTTTCATTTTTTGTTTCTTCTTTTTCCAGCGATTTCTCAGCAACCAAACAGATCATTTAGAAAACAAACAGTTCTATATTTTTTTCGAACTTTCAACGATGGTGAAGTGACCTGGGCAACTGGATTGAACCATCGGAGGCGAAACCGAGGGTTTATGGATGAGTGGGACGAGTCATGAGTCTCCGACTCAGAGTCAGCAATCGAATTCAAGAAACAGGTCATAGGGAGGTTGAACTCACTAGCAACAGTTTGAAACCACTCATCATCTTCTCTCTCTTCATCCAACAAACATACAGCAGTCGGGTTTTCTTTGAACGGCGAGTCAGTGAACGTGTCCACCTAGTTCCACAACTCAAATCAGTGAGTCACACACAACAACAAAAACAAAAAGCACAAAATCAAGATATGAGAGAGAGAGAGAGAGAGAGGATTACCACACAGTATGTAACAGGCTTCTTTTCCATCTTCAGAGTGAGAGAGACAGAGTACGAGGAGGCAGGCGAAATTAGGGATGACAATAGGAGTGAATGGAGTGGATATTAATTTTCCATCTCCATTCTTCTATAATTATTTTTTTTTATTTCTCATTTTCCATTCCTCATAGATACTATCCTCTCCAATTTTTAATGGGTTTGAATATTTTCTAACCAAACTTAACCCCTTTTTTTTTTTTTTTTTGAAAAGATTTACAACCAAAGTTAAATATACCTTTAATCTTTTTTTTTTTTTTGAGAAAATTAGTGTAGGGTCTCTCTCCCACTTTTCATAATAGAAGAGATCTACAAAATTATTTTCTGATGTCTAAGGTCCCTAAACATATATCAGAGAAATTTGTCTCTCCTCTCTCTCTCTTCTCTGCTCCTTCACCCTCCTCTCCACCATCCTCTACGACATCTTCCTCAACACCTTCTCCTCCGACTCCTCCCTCCGCTTTACCACCGTCGGAGACAAAGCTCTGAGCCAACAGGTGTGGCTTCTTCGGCGCAGTGGCGACGATGAACTTGTGCTCCAAGTACAGGCCATCAGCCGGTTGAATCCGATAAGGAAGAAGAGACTTTCTTCGATTTGGAATTTGCTGTGCCAGGTTTTGTCAGAAAGAAGACAAGGACGATGGTTCGGACACTGACGAGGATTCGTACAACGATTTGGCTATAAAAAGGACGGCGTGATCGAGTCCGATTTTGTTGAATCTCCTAACGATGCGTTCTTTAAAGGAACCAAGCCTTTGTCTCTGATTTCGTTCCTGAGATCTCCGCCGAAGTTTCGTGTGTTTATGCTGTTTAAGAAGCCGAAATTGGAGAAAATCGAGTTCGCCGATGCGTCGCCGGCGACTCACCAGCAGAGCAAGCGTTTCACTGAGAAATGTGAGGTTGAGGAAGTTTCGATTTTCTCACTGCTTGCGAGAGTGAACAGTTCGAGAAGCAATTCACGAAAGCAAAGCTCTGAGAACGGTTCGTCGAAGCGTTTCGCCAAGGATGTGGTCCAGAAGTATCTGAAGCTTTTAAGGCTCAATCCTCACATGAAGAACCAAAGGAATGACAGGTTTGCAGTGGCAGTGAAAAGCTAATTCAGATGATCCATTATCAGAAAGAAATGGTAAATCACGATCACCTGAACTAAATTTTCTCTGGGTTGAAACCAGAGAAATTCTCTAGTTTGAACTGAAATTTCTCTGGGTTGGTCCGGAGAAATTTTCTGGCTTAAAGTGAATTTTCTCTGGATTGGTCCAGAGAAATTCTATGATTTGAACTGAATTTTCTCTGGGTTGATCCAGAGAAATTCTCTGGTTTGGCGGAGAATTTAGTTTCTTCAACAGCTATGATTTTTGGGTATGCCCGAAGTGGATGAAAATCGGAAGCTGTTGAACTTTTGTGTGGTATGGCGGAGAAGAATTTGTTTTCTTGGATGGCTTTGATATTTGGGTTGGTACAGAGTGGACAATGGATTGATGGGTTTAATCTCTTCATTGAAATGAGGAGAGCAGGGGTTGTTATTGTAGACCCTTTTATTCTTTCAAGCATTGTTGGAGCCTCAGCTAATTTAGCAGCATTGGAGCTTGGAAAACAGATTCATTGCTTAGTTTTATCTCTTGGTTATGAATCTAGTTTATTTGTTAGTAATGCACTTGTTGATATGTATGCTAAATGTAGTAACATACTAGCAGCAAAGACCATTTTTGATACTATGTGCCAAAGAGATATAGTTTCTTGGACTTCAATTATAGTTGGGATGGCCCAGCATGGACGAGCAAACGAATCATTGTCTCTGCATGATGAGGTGATTTCAGCTGAATTTTCTTTGGTTTTTTAACTGAATTTTCTCTAGGTTGAAACCAGAGAAATTCTTTGGTTTTTTAACTGAATTTTCTCTGGGTTGGTTTAGAGAAATTCTTTGGTTTTACTGAAGTTTCTCTGGGTTGATCCAAAGAAATTCTTTGGTTTTTAAACTAAATTTTCCCAATTCAAAAATTTCAGTATTATGGAGATCTAAGTAGATTTCGGCAAATCATCACAAATCTCATGGGTAATTCAATCAAGGTAAGTATGCATCAGCTTCTCAAATTTCAGTCCAACAACCCAGAGAAAATTCAAACCAACCAAACCAGAGAAATTCTCTGGACCAACCCAAAGAAAGTCTAGAGAAAATTCAATTCATACCATAGAAAATTCAGTCTAAACTAAAGAATTTCTCTGGACTATGTAAACAAACCCATGGTGGTAACGCTGCAAATTCAAACAGGTGAAGAAATTATGAAAATATTGAGGGATTTTCTCTAGACTAATTTTCTCTGGACAAATTTTCTTTGGATCAATTTTCTCTGGACCAAATTTCTCTGGATCAATTTTCTCTGGACCAATTTTCTCTGGATCAACT